GAGCTCCTGGGCCAGCTGGGGGTGGACTGGCCCTGGGCGCCCGAAGCGCCGTCCCCCCCGGAGACCGTGGCAGCCTGGAAGCGAGCGCTCAGCCAGTGCCCGCACACCGTGGCGAGGGAGCCGGGCCCGGGGGCCGACGGGACGCTGTTCGCGGTGCGCCTGAGGAGCTTCCTGGAGCAGCAGGGCCTGCAGGGCTACGACCCCAGCCTGGACGTCCTCCGGGGTAGCGTTGCTGGTGGCGGGCACGGGGTGGCGGCAGGGCGTGCTTCTTTGCCCAGCGGCAGCGTGCGGCTGGATTGGCCCTTTCTCCCCCGCCGCACGGAGGCAGGACGCCGAGGCAGAAGCCTGTGGGGCGGGGCAGATGGAGAGAGCGGGCCCCTTGCAGAGCTCTTCCCTCCCCCGCAGTGACCGAGGAGGAGCTGCGAGCGCTGGCGGAGGTGGAGCGCGCGGCCCAGCGCAGCCTGGTGAGTAGCTGTGCCGCCGCGGCCTGGGCAGCGCGCAGGGGTCGCGGGGCTCGGGGCACACGCGAAGCAGCCCCCACTGCCCTCGCGCTGTGCGCAGGCCGAGGCCCCGGGGAGCGCCTGCACCGTGGTGCACGTGGTGAGCGGCGAGGAGGAGCTGCAGCAGCAGAAGGCCGACTTGCTGTGGAGGATGCTGGAGCCCGGGGCGCTCTCTGCCGCACAGGTGAGGGGCAGCGCTGGCCTCGTGCCCACCCGAGGGCAGTGGGGGGAGCTCGACCTGCTGTGACCCCCGGCCAGGGGGCAGGGGCTCGGCTGTCCCCGGCCCAGGCTGATCTCTTCTCTCTCTTTCAGAAACACCTCGTGTGCGGGCCAGTGAAGGCTACAAGCGCTTCAGTCCCTGAAGGGGCCTCGCAGTACTACCAGTAAGTGGGGGTCTGCTACCAGTCGCTCCCCGGCGCTGCCTGCTGTTGCGCTCTGCCAGGGGCGGCACCCAGCGCGGCGGTCGCTGCCTCGGCCAGCCCACGGGTGCTGCTGACGGCTCTGCCAGCAGGGCCAGGCTCGGCGGTCGCAGCCACGGGGCTGCCTGGGCTCTCACCCGCGCTCATCTCCCCAGGCTGCGCCAGCGCCAGCTGCACAAAGCCTCGGTGATGAAGTACGGAGACCTCGCCCATGGTAACGTGTTGCCCGCCACTGGGGGAGAGGAGCTGCTAGCACCCCGGGGCCCTGCCTGGCACATGCAGGAGCAGGCGGTGCGAGGGGAGGCAGAGGTCGGTACCTGCAGCGTCCCTACTCTGCCCGCACAGACGAGTCCTGGACCGAGGTCAGCAGGGTCCTGACCTCCGCAGCCATCCGCTTTGAGATGCTGAGCACAGCCCACCGCAGCCAGGTGAGAGCCGCGAGGCTGCCTCATGCCCAAGGACAGCAGCACGGTGCCCCCAGCCAAGCGCCCAGGGTCTCTGCAGACGGGGAGACATTGCAGGGCCTTCCCCAGAGCACGGGGGTGCAGGGCTCCCTGGAGCAGGGGTAGGCCGAACTTGGTATTGGGGAGCAGGGAGGTGGGGGACCAGGCAGCCTCTCCCCACAGATCACGCTGGACCTGGCAGATGGCGGCATCTCCACCAAGGGCACCCGGAGTGGGGCCTTTGTGATGTACAACTGCGCCCGGCTGGCCACACTCTTCCAGACGTACCAGCAGGCTGTAGAGCAAGGTGAGCGTGGGCCAGCCCCGCCGGCAGGGTGGGGGAAGTGCTGGCAGGTGGGCCCAGACTGGGGCTCCGTGCCTAGAGGGTCGGTTGAAGGACTGCAGGGGTGGGAGCCTGGATCTGGCAGGCTGGGCTGTGGAGACGCCAGCATCAGGCACCTGGGGCACAGCCCGGGGCTGGAAACCCTTGGCCCCAAGTCTGCACAGCCACGGGCACTGACCAGTCCGGCCTCTGCTTCCAGGTACCTACCCAGCCTTGCCTCCGCCGCCAGAGCTGGACTTCTCCTGCCTCCGGGAAGAGGTGAGCAGGGCAGAGGACCCGGGCTGGGAGGGGCTGCTCCCTCGAAGGGCCCGGGCAGCGCAGCAGGAGGCGGAGGGCAGAGCCCAGGCGCTGTTGCTGGCTCGGAGGGAGGCAGCTGCAGCACTCGATGCCATGGGGAAGCATTGGGTCTGCTCCAGGCTTGGGGCTTCCCTCCCTGCTCCCTCCCAGGCTTGGGGCCAGGGGCTGAGAAGGGAGCACGGCAACACTCACCCACATCTCCACTCCCTGCCAGGGCGAGTGGCTCCTGCTCTTCAACCACATCCTCCCCTTCCCTGAGCTCCTGCAGCAAGCAGCTCAGCTCCCCATCTCCAGCAGCGGGATCCGCATCACGGCCAACACTGAAGCGGTGAGAGGCGGGTGCTTCCTCGAGCAGGGGCAGAGGAGCCGGTGGGAGGCAGGGCGAGCGACAGGCTGCGGGCCCAGGCTCACGTGCCACGTCTTGCAGGTGTGCAGGTTCCTGGTCCAGCTCAGCATGGACTTCAGCTCCTACTACAACCGTGTCCACGTCCTGGGGGTGAGTCCTGCGGCCGCGGGGCCGGCACTGGCTGAGGGACCCAGCCACAGGGACCTGTCCCACAGTTGCAGCCCTCACTGCTGCCTTCTTTCCGCAGGAGCCGCTGCCTCATTTGTTCCCCCCGATGCTGGCCCGGCTACAGCTGCTGAGTGCGGTGAGGGACGTGCTGCACAGCGCCCTGGCCACACTCCACCTGCCACCCCTCAACCAGGTCTGACAGCGAGGACCCTGCCGATGCCAGCCAGGGCCTGTCCTGCCACCACCCTCAGCCTTCATAGGCTGTGCAGGGTGCTGGCGAGCACACGGGACAGAGGAGGTGGAGGGGTCTGCTCCACCTGAGACAGGTGCCCACTGGAGCAGCCGGGGCCTCATGCCTGGCTGGAGGCGCTCCAGGGAGCCACCCTCCTATGGAGACTTTTGCTCCTGCTTTCGTGAGGTCCTATTGCCTCTGCCCACCTGGGGCCAAATACAGCCTGTCCCCCAGCCGCTGCCCTGTGCCTGCTTGACCCCTGCCCTGCCCTCCTGCGGGGGGAGGGAGTGACCCCGGGCAGGCGCTGCGGGTCCCTAGCACAGTGGCTGCAGCAGCTGGCGGGTGGGGAGCTGGCGTGGGCATGCCAAGGCTGGCAGGTAAAGTCGCAGCTGAAGCAAAGGTTGGTGACAGGTGGTAGCTTTGCCTTGGGCAGCCTGTCCCTACGGCACCCCCAAGGGTGCACACCTCTGCCACGGCACAGCTGCCTGGGCCCTGCTGTCCTGGGGGCTATGGCCTGGCTCTCCGAGGCCTGGGCAGAGGCTGATGGGGCCAGCGAGTGCAACATCGCTACCCCCCAGGTTCGGGCTCCGCTAGGCACTGTGAGGGCTGGGCTGCTCCCCTGCAGTGGCACAGAGAAGGCATCTCAGCCCTCGTGCTCGGTGGCAGCTGGTTACAGCCCTTGGGGCCCTGCAGCAGTAACGAGCACCCATGTCTGGGTTCCCAGTGCTCTCCCCAGAGCCTCCATCTGCTGCCCCCCACCGAGCCACAACCAGGTGCGGGGGAACCACTGAGGGCATCTCACTGCACTCCTTGTGCGCCGTGCTAGGCACTCGGGGCAGCTCCGTCCTGCTCGGCTGCACA